CTATAAGGCAAACCCTATAGAGGATTTTTCCCTTTCTTCTGTCTTCCAAGTTTCCACACCACCATCCTGAACTCAGAAATGTTCTGAAAAGCCTCAGCTGCTGGTTAATGTAAGACACTACTTTGGGTTCTCTATAGATTTCTCCCCAATAAGTGAGCCCATGGAGTTTGCTTTGATAAAGGTGATGAGCGAGAGGTATGGTTCAGTAGAAGACCACCAGCATAACAGTCACAAGGCCCAGGGTACAAGTGCCATTTTTGGCAAAAACAAACAAATAAAAGAACAAACAGACACAAAAACTCAGAGAAAGGATGGAGACCAAGTAAGGAGAAACCAATAGACCCAAATCTATCATCATGCACCAAACTCAAGTCAAAACGGATCACAGATCTCAATACTAAAACAGAAACACTCAATCTATTGGAAGAGAAAGTAGGTAAAAACCTTGAAGACATAGGGGTAGGCAGAGAGTTCATGAACAAAACCCAAACTGCACATGAAACACTTCAAAGAATCAACAACTGGGATCTCATCCTACTGAAAAGTTTCTGCACATCTAAAGAAATCTCCAGCAGACTAAAAAGAAAACCCACAAACTGGGAAAAAATCTTAGCTGACTGCCCTCAAACAAAATCTATATATGTTCTATGTAGAACATATAAAGAATTAAAAAATATCAGCCTCCCCAAATTCAAAGACCCAATCCAAAAATGGGCAGCTGAGATGAATACACACTTCTCAGATAAGGAAATACAAATGGCAAATAAATACATGAGAAAATGTTCAACATCATTAGTCATTCGAGAAATGCAAATTAAAGCAACACTGAGATTTCACCTTACCCCAGTAAGAATGGCTAGCATTAAGAAATCAACCAATAACAAATGCTGGCGAGGCTGTGGAGAAATAGGAATTCTTCTCCACTGCTGGTGGGAATGCAGACTGATGAAACTACTGTGGAAATCAGTTTGGAGATTCCTCAACAAACTAGGACCAGAGGTCCCATTCAACCCAGCTATTCTCCTTCTGGGTATTTTCCCAGAAGATCTAAAAATGTCATATCACAGCGATATATGTGCACCTATGTTCATAGCAGCAGAATTTGTAATTGCTAAATTGTGGAAGCAACCCAAACGTCCATCCACTGAGGATTGGATAAGAAAGTTGTGGTACTTTTGTAGAATGGAATATTACTCAGCCATAAAGAAAGATAAACTCGAGGCTTTCATAGGTAAATGGTCACAACTAAAGCCCATACTCAGAAGTGAAATAAGTGAGACCTGCATGTGCAAGCACTGCATTGTTTCACTAGTGTAAAACCTGAAAGAGTTAATATAAACTCGGAGGTATGATACACACTGTGAAATGATAGGAAAATGCTCAAGGGTAAAGAGCAACTGGGATGTGGGAAAAGAGAAGGGAAAGAAAGAGAAATTTTGTATGTATGTATATACAGGATAGTTAACATAGTTGACCTATTGTCTTCTATTTCTTTGCCGAAAGAAACAGTTAATGAGTCCTTGATTGATCACTATTGCATGTCTGTATTTGTTTTCCTGAGAAACCACTTTGAAGATATCAGGATGTAATACAACAAATATTGTTAATTTCCTACCATTTTGTTTGTAACTCTGTATGGTCTGTACTGTTCTTTTGCTGTTTTGTTAAATATTGTCTGCCTGTTAATGTTTTCCTCCTTTTATTTTTAAAATTAAAAAAAAGTTCTGTACATTATTCCATGAATACTGTTACAATTTTTCTGCTCTCTGTTCAATAATTTATGCTGTTTTTCCCCTTACCTTAATCTTTTTTCTGTCATTCTGCCCAAATACATATTTATCTAGAGAAGTTATCTAGAGTGAAAACTTCTGGAGAGGAAGTACTGGATTGTCCACACGGCCCGTATGGCCATTCACGCTCAGTGTGCCCTGCGCAGTACCTACATGTTACCCTGCAGCATGTGATATTTTCTTCCTCTTGGTTACTTTTGTTGGGTTGTGTCATACTATTGTGGAATGATATTGCATTGTATGAGTTTAGCATGTTGTGTTTATTTACCAACTGATGGATATTTGGACTGCTTCAAGTTTTTGGGCTACTATGGCCAATTGTGCTTTGAACCTTAGCACACCTAATTTGTCAGTGTGCTTGTTGTGTGTGTGTGTATGTGTGTGTGTGTTGCATTCTTAGTGCACTTTTATTATGCAGAACATTGAATATCAATGTATCACTCACATGCATACCTATAACATATTTTGATCATATCCATCTCCCCATTAATCTTTCATGCCCTCTCCTTTCCCTCTGCTTCTGATCCCCTTCCTATGGTCAAATAGTTTCCTTCAAGTTTTACAATATGTTTGTGTTTTCCAAGACTCCACATGGTAGGGAAACGTGGAATACTTGTCATTCTGAACCTGGCTTATTTTACTTAACATGATGATTTCCAGTTCCATTTACCTAACTGCAAATATGATTTTTCCTTCTTTATGAAAGAACAACACTCTTTTTGTATATATATGTAATATATTTTCTTTATGCCTTCATCCACTGATTGGTCCCTGGGCTGATTGCACAACTTGACTTTTGTGAAATGCATTAACTATGTTTACAAGGACATTTTGTTTTATTTTGTTTTCTTTTCTTGTCTTTTACTTCTCTTGCATATATATGGGATCACCAGGTATAATGGGAGGTGCTTAAATTTCAGCTAAGAAATTGCTGTTTTCCTAAGTATATGTAGTGTTATGTGCTCTCATCAGAAAGCACATTGAAGTTTAGATGAATTTCTATCCTCAAACATATTTATAATCTGATCATAGTAACAGAGAAAATTTTAATTAAGGTCACACTTTCCTCTGTTATTGACATTTCATTCACCAGAGAGTGATTTGTTGAAGGGAATGACTTTGTAGCATTTCCTTTTTTTTCTTTTTTCTGGTACCGGGAATCAAACTCACGACCTCACACTTGCCAGGCAGGTGCTGTGCTGCTGAGCTAAATCCCCAGCCCCAAAGGGAATGACTTTGCAATACGTTCTGCTAACAACATAAAAGCATCTTAAATAATTCTCATCTATTTAGGGCTCTAATTCTGGCCAGAGTCATACTAGTGTATTTAATCAACAACAAATGAACACAAAAATGTATTTATTAAAATAGATGTACTATGTGTTATGGCACGTTACAAAGTTAGACTGTCACTGTTATGTATTTTTCAAAAAATTCTTTGGGAAATGTATTTTCATTCTAAAATTACGTATCACATGCCTATATCTGGTAATCTGAGCAACTAAGTAGAAGATAACAATATACAATATAACAATCACTGTTAGTTTCTTATATCTTGTTTTGAAATTCTGTATCATTTTTATTGTTTTTTTTATTCTCTCAGCATTTTACTTCTAAATACAGGCAATATTTTGCCATTGCTTTTGTTTCACTGTGGTTGAGTTTAGTGCCTTGCATTTCATACTCAATATATCTTCTTGAAAAGATACAAAGCCATTCACAATTCTTATCAAGAATCTATAGCCTGCATGAGGAAATTAACTAAAAATACTAAAATCATACTAGGGGGGCTGGGGATTTAGCTCAGCGGCACAGCGCCTGCCTGGCAAGCTCAAGGTCATGAGTTTGACTCCTGGTACCAGAAAAATAAAATAAAATAAAATAAAATCATACTAGGAAACTATCATTTCCTTACCCTACATTCTCTTTTAATCATTTCTATCTTTTAAAAAAGATATGACTTGTTCCTTCTGTTCCCATGGCATCAAGCCCAGTCCCCAAAGTCTGAAGGATGGTTTGTCAGAGCTGTCACCCAAATCCCCTGCTCCTTCCCAGGTAGGACAAAGTGGCTTGACTGAGAAGACATTTTAGATGCTACTGAGAGAAGCACCCAAGAAGACAGACTTCCCTTTCCTGCCAGTATAAGCTGTTTTGAGAGAACATGCAACCTAACGGTGCCACAGGTGTCGTTTTGCCATATTGGGGCAGCAGATGGCTGTGGATGACAAGGATGAGGTGTGGAGTTGTAGGGTCACTGCAGGAGTCACCCGCCTCCTGAGGTGAGCAGCCCTCGAGACACCCGGAAGGATCTAGCATTTCCCTGCCACTGTATGTTAATGAAAAATGGGACAATTAGATGGGGATTTCAGGTCTTCAGGGAATAAAGCATCTTGACTGAAATTTTTGTCATATGTTTTAATTCTACTTTGCAGTTCCATACTACTGTTCTCACATAAAGTGAGATAAGTCATTTCTTCCTCCAGGGTATCAAAGTCACCATAAAGTTACAACTTGTGCTATAACAGAATGGACATCACTACCATACATGAAATTCACACAGGAAAATCAGCTATGGACAAATAATTTATCAGGTAATTTAAAGTAGACATAATATTGTATTTCCAATTTTCTGTAAACAACGACTGTTTATGACAATGGATAAATTGTGTTCAAATGATTGTTACTTGAAAGAAACTTCTCAATGTTTCACTTTTTAATTTGGGTTCTCTATGAAACTGACTCTTTGTTTGAATGGAACAGAGCAATAGAACTCTCCTTTTTCTCTACCAATACATGTGCTTCACCTGACAGACATCCACCTGCTCTGTACTGGAATATCATGAAGTGTATGAACAGAGATCTATACTTGAACTTGCAGTAATATTTGCACAGTATTTTAAGCAAGGGATTTTATTTTTCCAGTTTCTTTCTTGTCATATTATTCTGATCAAGTTCGCTTCAGTTACTCTAAGTTTATTTTCCAATCTAATTTTAAAATGCATTTTAAATGACAATTAGACATTGTATATACTAGCTTCTCGGCCTTTTGGCTAAGACCACATGTAAGAGGGGCTGGGGATTTAGCTCAGCGGCAAAAGCGCCTGCCTGGCAAGCGCAAGGTTGTGAGTTCGGTTCCTGGTACCAGAGAAAAACCAGAAAAAAAAAAAAACAACAACAACAACAACAACAAAAAAGACCACGTGTAAGAATTGTGTGTGTTTATGCTGTAGAGCAGGATGTTTTTATGTGTGGACTTTGGGAACTGGCTAACCCAGCCTGTCTCACATTTGCATCCCTTCACACATAAAACCAATGGAGCATTATTATTTTCTTGTTCTCTTCCATTTTTGTCCTCAGAACTGTAGGAAGCAGATGATGTTTTTGTTCCACGTTCATGTGAGAAAAACATAACAAGGCAACGTTCCACAAGGTGAGTGCAGAAGAGCTGGGGAGGTGAATGTTGCACACAAGGGCCAGGAGGGAATGAAGGGAAGGCCCTGCAGTCTGTGCCCGGGCGTCCAGGTGGGGCTCAGGGGCTGAGGAAGCCATGGGAGGACACTTTCTGTATGGTCCTGTGTATCCGGAAAGCCTCTCTCTGTGGGAGAATGAGAGCCAAGCAGGAAGCCCGCTATGATGTGCAGAGGACAGGGAGAAGCAGGGACACAGGTCCTTCCTTCAGAGCTGTCACCATTTCTTTAGCTCAGGAGTCTGTGGAGAAAGAGGACAGCAGCGTTTCCACATGTCACTCAGAATGCACCTCCTCTCCCCTCTCATGTCTTCTCATGATGCATTGCAATAAAATACAGTCAAGTCTCCCTGAGCCAATGCTTCCTCAGAGTTCAGGGTTTTATTAAGTAGAGAGAGGAAGCTTTACTATAAACTGGCAGGTCAGAAATCTGCACCCAAAATTATATACATTGCCTCTGTTTCATGTCTCTTCACCTCCGCCATCCTCTGTAGGGAGAGCAAATCTATCTGTGAGAGAAGATTCGAGGACATTACCTGCTGGTTGAACTCCAGAGTGTCCTGGAAATGAGAGGAGAAATAGAGACTTGGAAGACATGAAGAAAATGTGTCCCCAAACACAGCGTCCCCAGTGTCAGCCCTGCCACCCGAGATTTCTCGGACACCACAGCTCCTGCCTGCCAGGGCAGGAAGGAGAACACAAATGTAGAAAATGAGGCCGAGGAAGCTTCCCCTTCATAAATACCCAGTTCAGTGGCTCTTCCTTTTTTACCTGTTGCTCTCCATTCACTATTTCAAAACTAGTTACCTTTCCCTCGCCTAGGTGGGCCATAGCGAATGGGTTTCTAAAAAGGACCCATAAACCATTGATTCCTGAATGCTCAGAAAACTTGAGGTAGACAGAGGAAAGAAAGGTTTCATATAGAGACACCTATGTACTGGGAATGATCCTGAGTGAAACACTATCTCTTCCCTCAGAAAAGCATATGGAGAGTCTCACCCAGCAGTGGGCATCTTACCTTTCTGATTCCTGGAGTAGACGAACAGCCCCGACCCCAGGAAGAGCAGACCCAGCACAAAGCCCCCGACTCCACTCAGCATCTTGCTCTGCGCAGATCCAGACTGTGCCCCTGAGGGAAGAAGCCAGGTTTAGAGATTATTTCCTACCCCAAATCCAAGTTCACTCACTGAGACCCTGAAATTCAGAATTTATGACTACAGGAGTGATGACTGCATTGAAAAGCTAGAATTGGCCATGGTTGGTAAAATAATATTTAAAAATTGCACTGAGTAGGTGTGAGGTTCATGCACCAAATTCACTAAAATCTCACAGCCCTGCAATATCCCAGAGTGTCTGCAGTGTCTGGACCTCAGAGACTGAGCAGCCATCTAGGATGTCAGAGCTCATGAAAGGCAGAGATGGTGAGAGAGAGAGAGGGGGGGGGAGCTGTGTCTGTCCTGTGCCCCGAGGCTGGCCCTAAGCAGAGCAGGGGGGAGAGGGCAAGGAGAGAGAGGGAGAGGGCAAGGAGAGAGAGAGGGAGAGCAGTTTTGCAGGTGATGCTGGGATTTTGGATTTTAAGGAATGGGAGACTGCTGAACAGGTTTAAGGAGATTAAAATAAAATGATACAGGCCCACAATCCCGCATCTGAATTTCTCAATTCAAAAAGCCACATCTTTTGAAAACTGTGATGCCAGATTCATTTTAAATGAATGATGGGGAGATGGTGTATCTCAGAAAGTTCGAGTCACATTTGTTTCCTTAGTTTCAATACATAAAACCTCATACACATATATACACATAGAACTGGTGATTGAAATGCCTAATGTCCAAATTTTTAAAATTTCTTAACATTATGAATTTTTATCCTTATTTATACTTTCAGTTTCTCACACCAGAAAAATAATGTGATATTTAAACCTGCATGTCCCATACAGTAAGGGTAACAAGATGGGGAGAGAAGAAAAGAAAGGAAAGGAAAAGGAAAAGAGAATAGAAGGGAAAAAATGGAAAGAAAGCTTTTGTAGATAAGGAAGGAAAGAGAGGTGGAAGACAGGGGAGTGGAACGGGTGGGGGGAAAAGGTGAAGTAAGATGTATCACGTACAGATACAAATTCCCTATGATAAATGCGATCTTATGCATATCTAAAATGTACCAATAAAATAAACTAAAAAAAATACTTCTCATACTGTGAAGCAGTTCTGGAGATTTCCTTTACTGTCTGTAGCAGGTGTGATTTTTAAAAATATGGTGAATGGGGCTGGGGATTTAGCTCAGCAGCCCAACGCCAGCCTAGCTAGTGCAAGTTCGTGCGTTTGATTTCTGGGAAAAAAAAACAAAAAAACAAAAACAAAAAAACAAAAAACCCCCCAAAAAACCAATAAAAAAAAAAAAAAAAAGACTGTGAATGCTGCTG